ACGCCTACACTTCGAACCCTCTTGCGCCCCCGCATTGTCCCCCCCCCTCCCTCTTCACCCTGGCACCGTGGTTTCCTTCGCGAGAACGAGGCCGATCCTTCGCGTATATCGCCCGGCAATCGAATGTTGATTGGAAAATATTGATGGGACTTTCCATCCGGTATCCGCAGCCGGCGATCTCTTCTTCCTCTCGTTCTCCGCCTCCGACGTCGGAAAGGATGCTTTTTCCATTGCGGTACGCTTTGGAATTTCAGTGAAATATATATATCTATATCTATATCCATATATCTTGAAGCCAAGCTTTCAACGGACGTCAGCATCCTGGTACCGTCGATATTAATTGACGCGGATCGTGCCCGAGCAATATATTGAAGCGATGAGCCGGAGGACAGTACCTAATATTAACGAAGGGTCTGATACAGCTACCGAGAAATAACGCCATTTGAAATGAAGATAACTAATTTTCTGTTATTAATACCACACCGTGTTGGTGAATGTAATAATAACTTTTACATATATATAGAATTTAAGTATGTTTTTAACTCTTCTACATCTCAAATAAAGTTTTGGGATGATATATTGTTTTACAATTCTAAGTTGTTTTTATTTCTGTATTAATATGTAGCCTAGTTTATATTACATAAAATATAATTAATTTCGGTAACTGCGATACTTTGCTTGGAGAGGTCTCTCTTGAATATTCAACGATTAACAAGTACATTTTGGATCTTAATTTCTCCTATTTATGACAGAAACTTAACTTAATAATAGAAGTATGTTATTCTTATAAACAAAAATCAATTTTATGATAAATCTTTATATTATATTACCAGATATACGCTGATCTGTTTTAATTCAATGATTATATTGTATAATTATATTGTGGATGCATTGGCTATATCGCACATAATTACATATATCCATCGTATATATATAAATATGCTTTTCTCAATCAAAATTAATTATTAGATGTGAATATGTTTGTGGAATATATTTCGGAGACAGATTCGAACGTTCTACCATCTGTATCTTCGCCCTTGCCTGCGTGAGAGTTCCAGATAAACGTCACAATCGGCGAAATATTTCTGCGTACGACTATACAAGGTCGTTCCAAGTTCCATGAATGGTTCCATCGAATGGCACGCCAACGAAACGGCGATGCTTGTGACTGAACCCGTGACCTACTGGCAGAGAGAGACGTGGTGTCTAAACACTGCCGCGCTGCTCGCTTCGATTTCCAGAACAGCTCAACTATTTCTGAAATTACACCCTCTAACATTATGCTGACCTTATTGACAAAAAGAAGACCCCCCCCCTCGCCTAAGGGTCATCCCAAAATCTATTTTAAGTCGAAATGATGCACTTCGTTATTGCATCATCGCGATATTTTAAATAATACAAAAAATTTTATATATGAAAGCTTACGTCATTTCGTAATTAAACGGACGGTATTTTCCATGGACAGTTTTTGTCTTGTTCTTTGACATTAAATATTACAATAATAATTAAAAGTCCAATTAAAATCCTTTGAAAATGCATAATAAAGCTCGATGACATTAAATTGCTAAATAAATTACTGAATCGATGAATATAATTCAGCCATTTGCAATGACTCGTTCTTTTCAATTAATTAGTCAATTATCTTGCAATGATTTATAAATGAAGCAGGATCTTAAAGTGTAAAAAATATAACAATGTATAACGAATAAAATTGTATAAAAATGACCTGTATTCTGTGTAAATTTTAGATGGGAAGATCGAAATTGAAGAAGAAGCTACAGCAAAAAAAACCGATAGCAAAAGAAACCGAAGAGTCGACAAGTACGAAGGTGCCAATAGATAATTTACCAGAAAAATTTCTCTGGATGCACGTGAGTACTCGAATCTTTCAGAATTGTGGAATGCGTTATTCGATTTTTTTTATTCACGAAATATATTATCTACACTGAAAGGTGAAGAGCGGTACAAAAATCAGAAACGTTCTTGCTTACGCGCTGAAGGAATTTCCCAGTTGTAACAGCATCGTCTGGACCGGAATCGGACATGGCATTATGAAAGTCATTTCTTGCGCGGAAATCTTCAAGAGGAAACACGAGGGCCTTCATCAAGTGACAAAGCTGCGTTACGTCAGGTAAGTTTGCCAAAACAGACGTCGATGGGTGCAGTCTCGTGGTTCAATTGCCATCTGTTTTTAGTTCAGAAAAATCCAAGGAGGACACAGCTACCGAAACTCATCGGATACCTGAAATTCATATTTTACTGACTAAGGATATTAAGGATACAACTCAACTCGGGTGAGATTTCTTAACTGAATCTCATATCATCCTCTATAAAGATTGAAAAAAATTACACATAATATATTGATTATAGTTTAATTTGCCTGAAGATGTAATCATTTATTTTGATATTTCAAAAGAGTTGAGAAAATTTAATTTCATGGAACATTTTTATCGATACTTAAATAAATTCAAATACTTTTTATTGACTAAGGGTATTAAAGATAGCAAAATAACCCATGTTGGCAAAACGTGGGTGAGATTGATTTAATTAAGACAAAAATATTGTTTGCAGAATATTTTTATCTTTAACATGCATTGCTAATATTTTTGTTATAATTAGATAATTAAAATTACAGCCTTCTAAAAGTCTATTATTTTCTTCGCGATACACAGTTGCGTGTATGTATATGACAAAAAAATATATATATATATATAATTATATTTCGTTAGATATCAAGCGCCTGGCGATTGCGGGAAATTCCTGAAGAAGGAAGATGCAACGGGGTCAAAGACAAACAGTACAACAGAAAAGACTGATAATGTGCCTTGCATCGACAAGCAATCCTCGACAATGGAAAAAAGTGGAAAAAGAAAAAATATAAACAAACTGAAGAAAAAGGCGGAACCACCTTTGAAGAAAAATAAAGTATCTTGATTAGAGTAATTAAATTAATATAATTAAAGTATTTTTAACTTCGTTATTCTATATTCTAGCTTCGAATATTTCTATCATTTGTTTATGTTCTTTTTTTCTCCAAAATCTGAGCATGCTTCACTTTGTGAGTATAGAAAATGTGATACAAGTGCAACTAAAAAGAACAGCCAAACTTACTTTTAGATATTGTTCCATAATAGTTGAAATAGCACAAGTCTTGTATAGAAAGTTTATTTCTTTATCATTACACAGACAATTTTCACGAGAACAGTCACACGTCATATATATATGTATTCCTGCTGCGTAAAGAATCTCTCGTCACAGTATTCATCGCGATATTCATTAATACATTAAACTCGAATTTTTGTACTTACAAGTTTTATATACAGTGTTACAATATTCTTCCCATCGCGTTGAATACGAAAAGAAACAATCTCGCAATACGCGATATCCCAGTGTTGCTTGTCGCTCGATAGAATCTCGTTATGAGAAACATGTAGGGCAGTACTAACTCTCGCGTAGCAACTTGCCAATACATGTCGAATATGAATTGCTCTGTCTTCCAACGTATGATAAAAAAAATCACGCGATCGAAGGCGTGAAAACACTATTTTTGTAAAATGAGTATTACAATGAACATTGTATCGCAAAGCAATGCCATCATCGTAACAATCTATTTCTCAGATTTAAGAAAATCATCTTTCGTGCTATTATTTACTTTAAAAAACGACGCTCGTATTCGCGCTATAATTTTATAGCGATATCTTATTATAGATTTGAAAACCCACAAATGGGCGAATTGATAAGGCGCCCAACCATTCTTCTACATTTTATTTCTTTTATCATACGACTTAGCTTTATATTCCAATATATGGAACAAATAACCTGCTCAAGATTCACCGTAAATTATTACCGTAAATTTTCGAGAACAGGATAGGAAAGCAACCTTCATATTGCTATATGGAATAAATGTATATGCATTATAAATAACAGTGCTATACCATATTTATCGCGCTACGTCTCTCGCTCGAAACAATACATTTTATAAAGATCAATTACGTGATGACGATTATTGTGGTCACTCTAGACTAACACGATGCTCGTATAATAATGTGTAAAATTCTACAATCGTTTATATAAATTCGCAATCTTCTTCTGGTTATGCAAATCGGCAACAAACATACGAGGTGTGATTTCCACCTTATTAGGAATTTCTGTATAACTGGATCGTATCTTACCTCGCGCCGTTTTGAGATATAAAGATCACCTCTCAAAGCTAGATCTATTATTTTATCAAAGATAGAATAAATCTCAGTAGTTCTCATAATGAAAAATTCCGACGATTCTTAGTGCAATGCAAGCTATTTTACAAGTAAATTAACGATACATAAAATTATAGAATTTTAATAGAATTTTAATAAAAGTGATCCAATAGAATTTGGTCTGTACGTATTCCGAAATTTATAAACAATTATTCACACAGCTAAATGTAAGATACATAAATGAGTTATATATTTTCCCATTACACATATCTAGTGTATAGAGAGAGAGACACAGTCTATTATTTTTACAAAAAGGTGTTTCCAAAAGGTAAAGTATCATATAGTAATGTAAGAGACAATCTTGCTGATGTCTAGTAACTTCAATAGCGTAAGATAAGTTCAAGACATCGTATTCTCTCTTCTTTCTTTTTCTTATTTTGTACATATGTTATTTGTGGCTTTATAAAAATCTTGTCGCTTTATAA